GAATGGGATAGAATAGAATAATAAAATACAGAATAGAATGGAATGGAATAGAATAGAATAATAAAATACAGAATGGAATGGAATGGAATCATAAAATATGGAATAGAATGGAATGGAATAGAATAGAATAATAAAATACAGAATGGAATGGGATAGAATAGAATAATAAAATACAGAATAGAATGGAATGGAATAGAATAGAATAATAAAATACAGAATGGAATGGAATGGAATAGAATAGAATATGATAGAATAGGATATGGAAAAGAATAGAATAGAATAGATCTATCCTATCCCATCCTAGAAGAGAACAAAATAGAACAACAGAGTTGGAAGAGACCTCGGAGGTCTTCTAGTCCAACCCCTGCCTAGGCAGGAAACCCTACACCACTTCAGACAAATGGTTATCCCACATCTTCTTTAAAACATCCAGTGTTGAAGCATTCACAACTTCTGGAGGCAAGCAGTTCCACTGGTTAATTGTTTTAACTAGATAAACAAGACATGCTTATAAATTCCAACAATAGAACTTGAATCAAGGGAGATTTTATATTCATATCAAACAGTTACATTTATATTTACACAAACGTTAAATAATTGTAGAATAGGTATTTCGAATCTTCAAGTCGACAATATTTTCAATCGCAGCCATAAGTTTCATATTTTACCTAGCATCCTTAGAGTATTCCAGCATTACCGAATGGAGATCACCACAAGATGTTGCTTCACAGCCAACGACAATCTGAAATGATTAAAATGAAATGCGTTTCCTCTTCAGTTTTGTCATTCGGTTTGGAACAATTTGTTCTCGTTGTCCATTCTGATAGTAGACCATTGCGTGTGTTTGTTCCAAAATAGGTAAAGATAAAGGTTGCCCTCGCATATACATGCTAGTCATTCCCGACTCTAGGGGGCGGTGCTCATCTCCCTTTCAAAGCTGAAGAGCCAGCGCTGTCCGAAGACGTCTCCATGGTCATGTGGCCGCCATGACTAAACGCCCACGGAACGTGGTCCCTATTTTTCTACTTGCATTTTTTACAAGCTTTCGAACTGCTAGGTTGGCAAAAGCTGGGACAAGTCACGGAAGCTCACTCCGTTACACGGCTCTAGGGATTTGAACCACCGAACTGCTGACCTTTCTGATAGACAAGCTCAGCGTCTTAGACCCTGAGCCACTTTGAGTTCTAGTCCCACCTCAGCCATGAATGGCAGCGGGGTGACTTTGGGCCAATCCCTTTCTCTCAGCCCAACCCACCTCAAAGGGTTGTTGCGGGAAAAATAGGAAGTGAAAGGAGTATTAGGTATGGTCGCCAATTTGAGTTAACTTATAAAGTAATAAAGGCAGGACAAAAATCTAATAAATAGGCCCAAGATACCCTAGATACTCTTTTGACCCACCATCTGCATATTCATCTTAATTTGATATTATTGTTCGATGCATTCATGTAACTTCCAGAAACTCTAAATAAGCAACGTATAGTAAATATGGGATAATCACTTGAACATCGGTCAGAGTTTCAGGACAATTCTGATTAAAGTCGATGTTTTACTCCGAATGCACAGAAATGTCTTCTTACTTTAAACTGTATCATGTATCCAGGTTGTATAATGAGCTCGCGGGAGGACAAGATGTTATACGTCTGATCCTTCTTCTTATTTGGCCAGTAGAGATGGAAGGAGGGGTTACCGCAGAATCCCGCCGTCCTGACTGCATTTGGATAGAAACTCCAGTTTTCTTCGTGGGAGATCCCTTCTGTTAAGATCAAGGAGTGAAAAGGAAGCAGAGAATTATTCGATGCAAACATAGACAGAATCGTTAAAACGTGTTTGTATATTCAGGATATATAAGCATCCTCCAGAGCCTAAGGGGTAGATGATAGGCAGCGCAATATATCCAACGTGGTCAAATCTTCTATATATATATATAAAAATGGCGCTCTCTGTGTGTGTGTTTGTGTGTGTGTGTTCTAGCACAACTCTGGAACGCCTTGAGCAATTTCAACCAAACTTGTTACACAGATGACTTACTCTCTGGAAAAAAAATGCTGTGGGGGTAAGACACCTTTAATGTCCTTTGGGGTGTGTGTTCGTTAAGATACAGCGTGTTGTGCCTTAAAATGGCTTCTACTGTACTGCCTTAAAATGACTTCTACTGTACAGTGCAGTGGAGTTGCCATGGTAATAGCCCTCACAATACTCCACGAGGGGGCTCCCTCTGGTAAGGGGGAAAAATCCAACATTAGAAATTACGTT